TCCTAGAAGCCTATCAAAAGGCTTCACGTCAGCAAAAGGAGAGGTCGTAGGCAAGACATTGCAGATACACCAAGCCGTTGCAACAATCTGGCGCTAGAGCAGTTGACCCAATCACGATGATGTAGGCCTACTCGATGGGGTACGCGGAACCAATAGGAAACCAGGCAGAAGTAGCATAAATAGGCCTCACAACTCACAAGAGACGAGGTCGGCTAAGTACACAAACGTTTAGGTTAGAGAGAGATAAACTTCACTAGAATCAGAGGAGGAACGGTCGGTGAGCCTTTAAAGGATCTCTCTATTACCAAGTCCCCTCCACCGGGATGTTTAGGAGCTCTTACTTGACGTTTCCGACCAAACACAGTCGTCACTGGTCATGGTCTCTTTGACTAGCCTAGAGGACGCGCCTAGGAAGGTACATTCTCCTTCTTCACACATCTTACTCGCCATGAGAGAGTTCCAACCTCACTCTCATATCGATTTACCATCTCCACGGTCGCTACAAAATAGTAAACAAATATTATTATCCCTTGACATAGTACTTCAGCGAAGAGCACATGCTTATGGAGGCCAAGGGAATGACGCTCAAGCTAGGGTTCCAGAACATCAATATAGGCAACCAAGCATATTAGGGTTGGAGATGCACCTAATACTCATGCAAATCGCTAAGGTATCAATCCTCCACCAGTTGAGAGCAAAAATTTTGAGATCAAATCTAAGCTTATCTCAATGGTTCAAGAAAACAAGTTCTATAGGTTACATGTAGAAGACCCTATGGATCACTTGGATGAGTTTGATAGAATTTTTAGCTTAAAAAATATCATTGGTGTATCTGAATATGGGTTCAAGCTAAGGTTGTTTCTATTCTCTCTTGGAGACAAAGCTCATCTATGGGAGAAGAACCTTCATCAAAGAGTCTAACACTTTTTGGGACCAATGCACGACATGCTTCCTTGCTAAGTTTTTCTCCAACTCAAAAATAGTAAGGTTGAGAAATGAGATCTCTAGCTTCACTTAAAGGAATAATGAGAGTTTTTGTGAATCTTGGGAGTGATACAAGAGTTTTGACTCTCTTGGTCAATCATCCTTTGTACTAGTCAGTTGTAGTAAGGGCTATATGTCAATACAATGGGTTATGAATAGATGCCAATAGAGTTGTAAGCAGAGAACCTTAAGTCAAGTGAATTCCGAGAAGATTTGTTGCTTAGCAACTAATACTAACAACCTAAGTGATCAAACACCAATCAGAACACAAAAGAGAACACTTAGCAATGATCAGAAGCAAAACAGAGCAATAAAACAGAGCACTTAAAGCAAAATTCGAAATTCAAATAAGAGAAAGCAAGTTCCTAGATGTGGTTATTGACTTTGGGGAATTCAAAGGGTAACTAAGGTTGTTTCAAACATCATTGATCAAGCAAACAAGTAATCAATACTGATTCCTAGACATAGAGTTCACAATCAAGCAAGTTAAGTTCAATCTCTTGACAAATAACCCTTTGCTAATCATCCTAACAAGAACGAACTCTCATTAGTTCTAGAACAATCACCAAACAAGCAAAACCAACTCTATTCAAGTCAAAATACTCCTCAGATAGTGAATCTCTTGAGCTAAGGCCAGTAAATCCTCTATTAAACAAGATCAGCATTTCATCAAACACTTGGTGGGCATAAAATGAAACCTAATTCTAGATTCATGTGATCAAGACAAATCTAGCCTAAACACAGATTAATAGAGAGGAATCAATCATATTTAACACTAACAAACCCTAATCAAGCCTCTAAATTCTCCTAATCTACTACATCTAAGAACCCTAAGAGAACTACTCATTAATCACCATGGAAAACACCAAATCACAAGGGTAAATAATGCTAAACATGATTAATAGGGAGATTAGAGGAGAAATTAAAAGACAAATGCAAAATTTTGATTAAAATGATAAACTTGTTCTTACAAAGATGGAAAACCCTTAAAACTAAGCAAGAACAAGACCTTATTCTAAAAACATTAGATCAAGCCTATTTATACTAAATGACAAAAATCCTAGATTAATGGCAAAGTTGTAAATAAAAGGAAGTCCGGACTGGTTCGTATCGATCAAAAATAATCGATACAGTTGATCGATAGAGCATACGCTGGGTTCTTATCGGTCACTCCTTGACCGATACGTTTGATCGATATAGATGTCTTGTTTCCCATCGGTCAGTCTTGACCGATACACTTGATCGATAGCGCATCCGATTGATTCCCATCAGTCAGTCATGACCGATACGCTTGATTGATAGGATCTTCACTCCTCTGCTGCAATGTATCGATCAACACAGACTGATACAGATGATCTTCACTTATCGATCAACACAGACCGATACAGATGATCTTCACTTCTCAGCTTGGCTAGCTCCTTGAATCATTCCCACACTTCCTCCTTGCTCCTTATAGCTTCTTAAGTACCTAAAAACATCCTTAATATATAGAGAATGCAAACTACAACATAAATGTAACCTAAGTCTAAAAGGAAAGGAAAATGGGACTAAAGAGAAAGAAAACATGCAAAAGGAGACCAAAACATGAACAAAATGCAAACCTAAATGATGTAAATGTATAAGATATCAGGGAGAGATTTAAGGGTTACACCATGCAATGGGTTCTCTAGTGAGTCACTACTAAGCACACCATATATAGGAGTCTTACTTAAGATTAGAATGCTCTTTCATTCAGAAAGCAATGACAATTTGTTGGGGAAAGATGTGAATGATGGCTTAGAGCTTGTTGAGAACCTATAACTATAGTAAAGACTATGATGGGTCTTCAAGAGGAAGTAGAGAGTATGAGTAAAGTAGAAAGAAAGAGACGAAAGCTCTGAATGAGAAAATGGACAAGCTACTTCAAGCATCCCAAAAACATGTCAACGATGTTGGTTATTATACTCCAAACCAAGTTAAAGAGTATGATATGCAAGAAGAGATCAACTATGTGGGTGTCCAAGGTGAGCTACAACCAAGGATCCAATAACAACTATAGGAATCACATCAATTAGAAGTAACAATGTGTCCAACCCACTTTGCCAAGTCTATCCCCAACAAACCAACCAAAGCTAAAGGATGCAATAAAAGAGCTTTGTCCATTTCAACCAACAACAAAGATATGTTCCCAAGAACACCTTTCAAGGGAACCAATGTGATTTTCAGCAAAAGCAAGCCTTTGCACCACCTGGTTTCGGTCCACCACAAGGAAAAGGTAGCAGCTCTATGCCTGAAGACTTTCACATGAGACAACTTCTACAACAACTCTTACAAGGGGAAGCTAGTGGTGCAATGGATATGAGCAAGAAAATGGCTGAAATTAAAAATAAGGTTGATTGCTACAACAATGATGTACATTCCAAGATCGAGTCATTGAACCAAAAGCTCCAGCAAATGGAGTACGAAAGAGCTTCCTCTTCCACACCCAACCCTCAAGCAAATGATAAGGCTCAAGCAAAACCAAATGAGTTTTGCAATGCTATATTCTGAAGTGTTGAGCATTTCACTGATGAGAATAAGGCTATTATAAAGGAGATTGAGAAACTTCTCTATGGTTCGAAGGATGAAGTCCTTCCCTGATGAGAGCTTCTATCAAGTCTCAATGAGAACATCTAGAAACAAGGTGGGGAGGTGGTCATCCAAAATGATAATGTGGTTGTTGCTAAGGACAGGGGAAAAAGAGTGCATGAAGAATCATTGACTCCTTCACAAGTGAAGGCTGAGAAGGCTCTCAAGGAAATGGTTAAGGATAGAAACATGGTGACACCTTTACCTCACAAGAAAAAAGCCTCTTACATTGAACCTCCTCCATATAAGCCACAACTTCCATATCCTGGATGAATCCTCACCAAGTCCCTAAAGAAAGTGCTTTTAAGCTTCAAAGGAAAAATGGAAAAGGTTAGTGCACCATTTCTTAATGGAGATAACTTGTATCAAGTTAAGGAACAACTAAGGTTCATCAAAGACATGCTTGCAAATAGAAAAAAAGGTGAAAGAGGTTATGGAAACCTTTGATCCACCAAATACAACAAGGTATATTCCCAAATTTGAAAACCCTGATAAATTTTTGATTTCTTGCTCTCATGAGGATTTAAAGATAGATGATGACTTGTGTGATTCTGGAGTAAAATGTGAATATTATGTCCCCTGAGATAATTAAGAGTTTAGGGATCAAGAGCATACAGAAGCACCCATCATAATCGCTAATCATATTTGTATATGTTTCTTCAAGGCAATCACATAGCCTTCTTGAAAATTATCCACTAAAATTTGGAGATTGTATTATCCCAACTGATTTCATAGTCATGGAAATGGTGCAAACCAGCAAGCTCACTTTTCTTCTTCAAACCTCATTCCTCAATACAACTGATGCAAATATAAAGTTCACAAATAAGAAAGTACTACTCAAAAATGTGAATAATAAAGTTTTCTACCCTAACAAGTCTTCTTCAATTAGATTTTATGGTACAATCATATGAGAAAGTGGAATCTAACCAAGAGCCAACTGATTGGATATGTCAAAGGTGTGACTTCATAATCATGGAAATAATGAATTCAAATGAGATTTTGTTGGATGTTCACACTTTACTAGGGAACGATATGGTTCATGTGGGAAAGATTGGTAATCATTTCAAAAGAATTGTTTTTCATTTGAATTTATGTTTGTAGATATCGACATTTTGGATTGTCGAATAAGTTTCTAGTTCTTTGGCATTGTTCTTTTGTGTTTACAGTTTTTTATGGCATTTGATACCTATATTGTTAGAAGATTGATAAGAATTGATTTTCAAATGCATGTTTGTGGTTTTCTCTTCTCCTACACACATTAGATTTTTTAGGTTTCCAAGTATTTGGAAAATGAACCCAAGACTAGTTTCAGGAAACAATTTTGGCAGGACCCATGGTCATTATTGATGATGACAGGTCATGATTTAATTTTCAGTACAAATTTGGTATGTTCTAGAGAGCAGCTTGGATTTGATGGTTATGAATAACTAACTATTGGGGAAATTCTCATTAGTTATCTTTCCCAAAATGAACCAGTTTTGAGGAAAGCACATAGAAACAATGTTGAATACAAAAATTCTCTTGCACGTTTATGTAATCGTCCAAAACAGATTAGTAAGCACATGAAAAGAAAATAAGTACTAGACAAAGGAAGTATATATGGACTGAGTGAAAATTAGTAGGAACAAGAAAGAATACAAAACATCAAAGGGCATGTAATTTGCAAAATCTGTTGGCTTCACCTTTCTAACACTGATTCCTTTGACTCGACCCCAATGGGTAACACTGATCCATCTCTCTCTAAGCTTTCTCTCTTTTTCTACAAGCTCCTGTAATCAATAACAGTCACCTCTTCCTCTGGAGCATCAAGGTCTTGGTAGCTGCAACATTTTCTCATAACATTAGTTTCTTAAGAGACACTGCACACTAGTTCACATGGTTACTGACTCTAGACTGAACCAGTATTTGATGATACTCTGAAGCATACAGTAAACCAAGTTACCTGCGTAGCCGTCTAGGATCCTGTCTAAAGGCAGGAGACAAAAGAAAAGGGGCTTGTCCGCCTCTGCCGCTACCTTCAAAAGAAGGGTTGGGTCCACTCGGGTCTCTGAACATCTGCATCGCAAACTCAGCTGGTGCTGGTACGAATGGTCCCAATGGCCTGCCCACATCCATTATTTAGACAGCATTGAAGATCATCGAGAAAACATTATATGATCAGATTATGAGAGAGCCTACCCGGCACCGGGAACAGGCATCAACACTGGCGGTGGGTTCACATCCGATGAGAAGGAAGGAATATGAACACCGCCTTGTCCACCAAATGCATCGTTGGGGTTTGCACCATCAGGGCCATTACCATCACCTCTCTGTTGATCCTCTGACCGATCAATTCTATCATTTCCATTAACACGTCCGTCACGCTCTCTGCGTCCACCTCGATCATCCCTCAGCCTGTTCTCCATGCCTTGTTTGCGTCTCATCATAGGTCTATCTCTCTGTCATAAGTATATATCATGAGTGAAACTTAGAACAAAGCGAAAACCCAAAAGTACAGACTAGTCAACATTTCATCGAAAGATAAAAAGGGATCATGTACCGGGCCAGATTGCTGCGTGGCTGGTTGTCCTACTGGAGCATTAGGGTCACTGCAAATGGAACATAATATTTCATTACGAATCCGTCAGAAAGGACACAAGAGGAATCCAAGAGAGAAACCCATACATACTTCATATAATTCTGAAAATACACTTCTTCCCGCACTTTGGTAGTCAAATCCACGATAAGCTCAGTGTGTTTCAGTTTAAGATGCTTGTGCACAAATTCAGCAGCATGAAACAGTTTCGTGCAGCCTTTAGCTCCACAACCATATTTCCAACCATACTTCTCATCCCTAATCTTTCGGACATGTGGATCCAAAGCTTCACTAGCAGCCGCATCTATCTTCTCTTTGGCAGCCATCACTTCCAAGGGATCTTGACCTTTCAACCTCTCTTGCCAATGAGAGTCAAATTTCTTTTCGCTCTCGTCTCCTTTTGCATCAGATCCTTTTCCTTCAGCTCTCACATGCCGCAGACCCTTAGCTTCATTTGTTTCAACCTTTCCGTAATAGTCCACACCATGGACACGCCAGAGATAAGTAATAAGCGTGTCAAGCAATTCAATACCCTCAAGGCCTTTCACAGATGTCAAGCCTCTTATGATTATAACTGGACCAGTCGAACCACTGTGTAGCTTATCTCTACCTGACTTGTCAGTTTCCGAACCTGATAAAACGTTTTCCACAATTCCTTTCTCAGTGTCCAGCTTACGCACCAGCGCTTGTGCATGATCAATGTCGGTTAGGATTCTCTTTGGATCAGAAGTGAAACTGGGTGCTTTCGGTGCGGCTGAAAGAAGGTCAGTCTCTTTAGCTCCACCCCTACCAGGTCTCCTTCTTTTGCCGTTACCAGCTGCTTCATCCTCGGAATTTGGCTCACTGGCCTGGTCGGACTTATTCAATGCTGTCACTGCAGGACTTCTAGAACAGATCAACGGGAAACTGTTAGCTTTAGAGATGACAGAATATGGAGTAGAAGCAATAGGAAAAGGATCTTACAAATCTAGATTTCCGCTCTGTAAATCAAGTAAGAAATCCTTTGCTACCTTCCGTGCAAGTTCATTCCTCCTGTTAATTTCAAAGGAACGTACACGTTTGAAACAGCTTTTTTATAAATGGAAAAAAAAAAAAAAAAAAAAAAAAAAGAGAGAACCAATCCAAGACCGTAATACCATGACTACAAGAGGTCAGTGTGTCGTATAAAAATATTACACCGAATTCAACTGCTACAAATAGCTCCTGAACTCACCTTTCTATGACAGTAAGTAAATTTGTAGGATGGTACTTGTCTTTCAACCTAGACGCGTAACATAGATAAGCATGTTAATAGGTTAGCTTGCAGAATTTCCCAGAAGAATGTACAAGAAGGAAACAGATAGTGGAAATCACCATTCTTCATCTTTGTGGGTGTTGAAAAAGACACGTTTTTGTGTTGTGATATACTCTGACTTATATTCTTGATATCTGCATTAGGAAAAAAGGCATTACCCCTGCAGCTTTACGAGACAAATTCTTCAGCAGCAAAACTAAATTGCAGTAGTAACCATACCTGCGTTCAGCTTCTGCTGGCAATATATCATCTTCCAACTCCTGGATAAACTGTTTGTACGACATCAATCCGTCCCTGGATAAAGGAAATACAGCGCTATTTATTTCTTAAATGTAACAGCACTAGTAGAGTGACAGACTAGGAACAAAATAATGGCTTTATCTCGTACTCAACAGCAATAATGGAATAGAGATGACATACTTCAATATCACATGTTCAAGAAATAGTTATCTAGTAGCTAATCAAATCAATCGTGTATCTCAAGCGTTCACTATAACTTGGAGAAAGAACAGTCCACAGGGGATATACCTCTCTTTCTAAAAGCATCACTAGACAGTTCATAACTCCTCGCTTACACTTACTAGATCAAAATTCAACTACCATATATAAACACAGCATAGGACAAAAACAACAAACCTAAGAAGTACAAAGAATCAAGAATCAACTCTAACCTCTGAGTACTTCCACTGTTGAAAGCATCACCATAGCCTCCACGTCCTCCCTCCCAGTCTGCAAAAAAAGAAGGGCAAACTTTGGTATCAATTTATAGAGAGAAACAGAAAGTCCCAATTTATAAGACAGTCGTCTTACTTCATGCTATAATGCTAATTCTCTCAACATATCATTATGATGTCAAATGAGCCAGAAGCCCCAGTTTACATGAAAGCCCAATGTCAGTCATCTTAAAGATTACGTGAAATTAGATGCAAAAGTGGGAATACAGATTCTCTCAACCTTAAAACACATCTGAACTACAAGAGTTGTCTCACCAACTGATAAGACAGTCTAATGGTAGTCAATGTTAAAAAGTTAAAACATATCTCACAAGACAAGATAATGCAAAATTGCTCATGCTGATTCTCTCAACCGATGTCTCACCTTGATACCGACCCATAAAGCGGCCATGAGGCCTCTCATCACCATAACCAGGCCTGCCACCCATTTCACGATCATATCCTCCACCATAGTCATATCCAAATCTATCATTCGGAAAGAAGAATTGTAATAAAACAATCATTGATGCAAAGGACAACTGAAGTGTGAGAAACAATGCAACTGGCATGCTGTCTATGCTATTCTTCTAACAGGAAATGATGATATATAAGACTTGGCAAAGAGTTCCCATATGACATTGATGCTTAGTTCAATCGATAGCAAATTATCTTTGATGTTCAGAGAATAATTAATAGTGAACCAATTTCATTTCCTCAGATAACTGACACAAGTTTGACGTTTCGCTTCTCTTTCCATGCGACTGAAGCAGGGGAAAGAAGATTTAAGCATAGTAGATGAGGATTACCTTCTATCCGGTGGGCCATAGCCGCCACGAGGACTGCCACGGCGACCATCATAGCCATTATCGTCCCTCCTGTATCGCTTGTGAGGAGGCGAGCGGCGCATGGGAGGAGAGTGCCGCCTATCTCTGTATGGCGGCGGAGGGCTACCACTAGGCCGCCTCTTGTAATCCCTGCGGGGCGGTGGGAGAGGCGAACGGTCACGGCGATTAGGCGGACGTTCGAGGTCTCTGTCGTCACGCCGCTCGCGGGAATCTCTCTCGCGGTGGTGGGGAGGCTGCTCCTCCTTCTGTTCAGGTTCCTGTTCCTGCTGAGGCGGTGGGGGAGGCGGTGAAGAAGAGGTGGTATTCTCCGTGACGGAATCGGCCGGAGGAAGAATCACATCGGTCATTTCGAGAAGACGATCGGAACCCTAAATCCGGGAATATCGCTGATTACTATCGGTATTTTCGTCAGGTTTATTACTGTCTGATGATGATGAGACACTCAAAAACCAAAAGCCTCTCTCTTCTCTACCTTTACGGGTCTGCTGTTACACATCGAACAATTCAACTCGGCCTTCAACACAAGCCCATCTCGGTAACATTTGATTTTAAGTTTTTATTCCAATGTTTAGTGATTTTTTCCCTCAACACCAAATCTTCCACTCTCTAAAATCTTTGATTGAGAAAAAAAAGGCCATCCCCTATATATTAAAAAAAAAGCATAAAGAAAAACTTTAAATTTGTAAAATATTATAATGGTACTATTTTGTTGATGTGTCAACCCCACATTTATTTTTAGCTAATTTTTTTAAAAATACATAAATTACTAGATTAATTACATGATATATCATTGTATATTTTAGGTCCATAAATATGTTATATTTTATTTTTTTAAATAAATTCAAATGCAATAACATTAGAATTAATGATTTAATAAAATAAAATTTGTTTAATGCTAAATATAATATACATGAAATTTATTATATAATATTTTAAAAATATTATCTATAAATATTTTATTATAAATTTATAATAAAATATACAATATTTTTAATGTTTACTATTTTTAACATTCATAGTAAAATATATAATACTTTTTAATGCTTACTACTTTTTAAAAAATATGTTTATTGATTATCCATAAAAAAATATTTTCAAAAAAGCAACTGAAAAATTAAAAAATAATATTTTATTTTTTTCAAATTCATAACAAAATATATAACACTTTACTAGTGTTTACTACTTTTATTAGAAAATATTTTTATTAATTTTTTATTAAATATATTTTTATAAATACAACATAATAATTAAAAATTATATTTTATTTTTCTCAAAAATCAATTAGAACAAATAAAAGAAAGTCATAATTATTTTATTCACATATTGTTGTATTTATAGCATGCATGAAAATAATTGTGAAAACATATATAATACTTCAAGCTAAATATTTTTAAGTGTATATTTTTTAACAATTCATAATAATATATATAATAATATATTATTTAAAATATATGTTATTTTTGTCACAAACATCAATTAAAAAGAAAATGGCGAATTTTTAAAATTATTATGATATATATTATTTAATATTCAGATTTACTATATAAGGAAATATGATATATTGCATTATGATTCAATTTGTATATGACTCTTAGATGACAAATATGGTATATACCAGTATTGCTTATCTTTTTTGGTAAGAGATCTGATATAAGATCAAGTGCAATATGTGTGGTATAGAAACTTCAAACTCAAACACAATATCAATGTTAAAGTATCTAAACTAACAATGACAAGAGTGAATGCAATAAAATATGGCAATAACACAGCAAGTTGTAGAAATGAAATGACAAGGGATCAAACAAAAGATTTTTTTTTGTTTGTGATTTTCAAATTTAATGGATGTAAAGCAAATCAAGAAAAATAATTGTAAATATTTTTTTAAAAATAAAATAAGATGATATAAAAAGCTAATAAACAGAAATCTTTTTTTGATTTTAGTTTTTATGAATCAAACTGAAGCTCTAATTGGTGACCAAAGGAATGAGGGGGAATAATGAATTCCTCTTCATTCCTTAAATTTTTTATCATTCATTAGTAATATTTGTTCCATGTTATTCTCTCTCATTTCTTATTATTTAAGGAATTATAGAACAAAAGTATTCCTTATAAAATGTGGAGAGGAACAAAAAATATTCTTTACTTCTTTATATGTATTTTATTCGTATTGATTTCTTTTTTTTTGGTTTCTTTTATTCTTTTCCTTCTCATTCCTATTCTTTTTTCATGTGTCACCAGTTAGAGCCTGAAACAAAACAAGAACAATTTTTTTTTTTTTGACTTTTCTGGAAATGAAGAACACAAAAACGAAAATAAGAACACAAGAACAAAAAATTAAGAACAAGAGATAGATTCACCTGATTGTGGAGCCTAAGCTCTGATACCAGATGATACGATCCTCAAAGGCCGAGGCTCGTTTGGGGAATGATGGAGGCTGAAAGCTGGACTGAAGTCACTCTCTTTCAGCCGATCGGATGGAATATGGTCGAAGCGGAAAGATGGTGAATTGACTGACTCGCTCAGTCGGTGGGATGGCTGACTCACTCAGCCGTTGGAATTAGCCTTGCCTGAATCACACAAACAAATCTATTCCAAGAATCAGTAGAAACAAAGGAATCTTTCAATTGAATCTAAAGACAAGTTTTTTAAATAAAGAACACTCATTGAATAAAAAGAACAAAAGTTTTATATTTTCTTAGATGAAAGTGGTTGTTGGCTTATTAGACTCTCCACAGCTTGATTATACTCTTCTTGAAGTCTTTTTGTACCAGATCTTGTCCTTGGTGCAAACCTCATGGCTGGAATCACATCTTCAGGTTTGATGTCTGCATCATTCCCTCCCTCTTGAGAGGGTTCTGACCTCAGAACTGTTTCTGCAACATCAAAAGGAGATAAATCAGTAATATTGAAAGTGGGAGAAATGTTTAACTCACCTGGCAGCTCCAGTCTGTAGGCATTATCATTGACACGTTCTAAAACCTTGAATGGTCCATCTCCTCTTGGCAAAAGTTTGGACTTCCTTTGAGTGGGAAAACGTTCTGTCCTCATGTGAAACCACACCCAATCTCCTGGTTGAAAGGTGACTTCTTTCCTCCCTTTATCTGCTTTTCTCTTGTACTGAAGTGTTTTCTTCTCTACATTCTCATTTGCCTTGAGGTGCAACTTCTTAACAAACTCAGCCTTTCTCTCTCCATCTTGGCTGGCATGCTCATTTTGTGGAAGTGGAGAAAGGTCCAGTGGTGTGAGAGGCTTAAAACCGTAAGCAATCTCAAAGGAGAGAATTTAGTAGCAGAGTGTGGGACACGGTTATAAGCAAACTCAACAAATGGTAAACAGTCAAGCCAATTTTTCAAGTTGTTACCGATGGTGCCCCTCAAAAGGGTGGATAATGTGCGGTTGACAACTTCAGTCTGCCCATCTGTTTGGGGATGGCATGTTGTGGAGAATAGCAACTTCGTCCCTAGCTTCCTTCAAAGCGTTTCCAGAAGTGGCTGAGGAATTTGGTGTCTCTGTCTGAGACAATGGTCCGTGGTAGACCATGTAGACGTACCACCTCCTTGAAGAACAAGTCAGCTGTTTGTGTTGCATCATTGGTTTTTGCACAAGGTATGAAGTGTGCCATCTTAGAGAATCGGTCCACCACCACAAAGATGGAGTCCTTGTTCCTTATCTTGGGAAAACCTAGTACAAAATTCATCGAAACATCTTCCCAAGGCATATTAGGTATAGGCAATGGAAGATAAAGACCATGAGGGTTTGACTTGGATTTTGCTTTAAGGCAAATGATGCACTTGGAACAGAACCGCTCAACATCTCTTTTAAGATGAGACCAGAAGAAGTGCTCCACTACAATGATCAACGTCTTGTCTACTCCAAAGTGTCCCATTAAACCACCTCCATGTGATTCTCTTAACAGCAAATCTCGCATGGAACCTTATGGAATGCACAATCTCTTGTCTCTGAACAAGAAACCTTCATACTGATAGAATGGGCTTACAGCTCCTTTGTAGCATTCTTTGTATGTATCTGCAAAATCAGGGTCTGTTTCATATTGCAATTTAATATGTTCAAAACCCATTACCATAGCCTCCATAGTGGTGATGAGAGCATAGCGCCTGGAAAGAGCATCAACCACTATATTTTCTTTTCCCTTCTTGTACTTGATAATGTAAGGGAAGGTTTCTACAAACTCCAGCCATTTGGCATGTCTCTTCTTAAGTGTAGTTTGTCCTCTTAAGTGTTTAAGAGTCTCATGATCTGTATGAATGACAAACTCTTTAGATAATAAATAGTGTTGCCAAGTTTCAAGAGATCTTACCAAAGCATAAAGCTCCTTGTCATAAGTGGGGTAGTTCAAGGCTGCTCCATTGAACTTCTCACTAAAGAAAGCTACTGGACGTCCTCCTTGAGTCAAGACAGCTCCTATGCCAGTTCCTGAAGCATAACATTCAATCTCAAAAGTCTGATCAAAATTAGGTAATACCAGTACTGGTGCATGGGTGAGGCTGTGTTTGAGCTTGTTGAACGCCTCTTCTTGTGATTCTCCCCATTTGAAGGCAACATTCTTTTTGATGACTGGCGTGAGTGGGGCTGCAATGGTGCTGAAATCTTTGAAAAATCTTCTGTAAAAACTTGCCAGCCCATGGAAACTTCTTACATGTCCAATAGTTGATGGAGTTGGCCACTCTTGTATAGCCCTTATCTTCTCTTCATCAACTTTCAAACCCTGAGAACTTACAACAAATCCTAAGAACACAACTTGATCAGTGAAAAAAGTGCATTTCTTAAGATTAGCATAAAGATTCTCCAGCCTAAGTGTTTCAAGAACCTGTTCTAGATGTTTGAGATGGTCTTCTAAGCAGGTGCTGTAAACCAGTATGTCATCAAAATAGACAACTACAAACTTACAGATGTATGCTCTTAAGACATGGTTCATGAGCCTCATGAATGTGTTGGGGGCGTTGGTGAGGCCAAATGGCATAACAAGCCATTCATACAACCCTCTCTTGGTCTTGAAGACAGTCTTCCATTCATCTCCTTCTTTCATCCTCACTTGGTGATAACCACTTCTTAGATCAATCTTGGAGAAGATAGTGGCTCCATTGAGTTCATTCAGCATGTCATCAAGTCTTGGGATGGGATGCCTGTACTTGATGGTTATATTGTTGACAGCTCTGCAATCAACACACATCCTCCATGAACCATCTTTCTTTGGCACTAGAAGGACATGAACTGCACAAGGACTTAAGCTCTCTCTAATGTATCCTTTTGACATGAGCTCTTGAACTTGTTTCTCCAACTCCTTGGCCTCCTCTGGATTAACTCTATAGGCTGCTCGGTTTGGTAGAGGTGCTCCTGGTACAAGATCGATTTGATGCTCTATCCCCCTTATTGGTGGCAATCCTGGTGGAATTTCACCTGGAAAAACATCTACAAACCGTTTAAGTAACTCAAGTACTTCTGGCGGTGGTTCCTTTTCATCTTGTCCTGAAAACAACACTTCCTTGAAAACCATTAGTAGCACCTTTTCTTGTGAAACAAGAGATTTAAACACAGATTTAGGTGAAACATAGAGATTAGTTT